GTGCTAACCTGAGCCTGGTCAGACGTCTCTCCCAGGGCTTTGTGCAGTTGCAGGGGACGCAGACCCAGCTGCCACCGTCTTCCCAGAGCCCGCTCTGTGCTGCGGGTCACCCACCTGCCCTCCAAATCTCCTTGCATCAGTTGGACCTGGGAACAATGTCCTCCTTGGTGAAGGGCCCGACATGAGCCTGGCACACGCCCAGATCCACGTTCAGCTTTGCCAGTGTCTTCAGGCCGCCATGGCCCCTGAGCAGCCTTCTGCAAGGACACCGGCCTTGGTTGTGCAGAGGGCAGCCAGCTCCACGCAGGGCCACTGTTGTTGAGCTCCGGGTGCCTGTGCAGGTGTGGGCGCTGTGAGCTGTGAGGGTGGCACCCTGCGTGGTGCCCCTGGCCAGACCCGGTGTGTGCCTGGGACTCCCTCACCAGCATCATCGCAAGGCGCTTACTGAAGGACTTTCGGGGACAGGGCTGTGAGGAGTCAGGCTTTATCCTCTGGAGCTCCAGGGCGGATCGGCAGCAGGGCCGGGCTTTTAAGGCAGACTGACGGTCACTGTGGGGATGTCATCTGGCAGGGCTTTTCTCAGCTGCCTTCTTGATTCCTGAACTTCTGTAGCCCTGCTCTTTATCCACTTTGACGTTTTTTCTTCCAGCTGCAGAGCTACTTTGCCGCATGTGAGGACGAGACCCCTGCCATCCGCAACCACGACAAGGTCCTGCAGCGCCTGTGCGAGCACCTGGACCACGCACTGCTGTACGGGTGAGTGGTGCCCGGCCCGGTGCCTGCAGAAGGCGATGCCCGGCCTCATCTGCCTTAGTTCCTGTCTGCCTTGCCAAGGGGCTGGTCTCGCTGAAGTGGGCCACAGCTATCCCAGGTAGCTCTGTGAACCCACGTGGCAGGCGCACCCGCCTGGGGGAGGGCTCGGGGCCACGCACAGGTTGCCTGTGGCCTGACTGGTGGCAGCTGGTGGGCCAGCCCCACCCAGGCCCCAGCGCTGCCGTCCTGTCCTCACAGGCTGCAGGACCTCTCCTCTGGTTACTGGGTGCTTGTCGTGCATTTCACCCGGAGAGAGGCCATCAAGCAGATTGAGGTGCTGCAGCACGTGGCCACCAACCTGGGGCGCAGTGAGTAGTGCCAGGGAGACACGGGGCAGAGGCACACACCCCCAGGGCAGCTCGGGCTCAGGTTCAGCTTGTCAGCCCTGGGAGACTGCCTGCCTTGTGGCATCTGGTGGCAGGGGCGTTAAGATGCTCCACAAGAGCCCCGTTTTCCCTGCACGTGACAGTTTGTGGGTGCTTTGGGGATGGGGGGGGTGTGACGTAGACGAGAACTGGACTGCTCTTAGAGCCCAGACTGAGCACGGGGAGGACTCTGGTTTCTGTCCCCGAGCTGGGATCTGGGTTAGCCTGCAGGACAGGACAGAGTCCGCACACAGCTCAGCCTGGCCGAGTGTGTCCCCGCCCTCTCTCAGATGTTCCTGGCCGGCCATGGGGGGCCTGAGGGCCGTCGGAGAACCTGGTCCTCAGCGGCCCTTTCTCCTCTCTGCCTTGGCCTGCAGGCCGGGCCTGGCTGTACCTGGCCCTCAACGAGAACTCCCTGGAGAGCTACCTGCGTCTGTTCCAGGAGAACCTGGGCCTGCTGCAGAAGTACTACGTCAGGTGAGGGCGACGCTGTCTCATCGCCTCCAGCTCCCCTGAGCCTCCTCCCAAAGCTTCCTGTCACATGTGGATACCATACTGGGCCACATCAGAGACCTAGCCTGGCACTGCATGCTGAGGACACAGTGGCAATGGCCAAAGAGCCCCGGGGGGCTTGCTGGAAGTGTGGTGGCTTCCTCCGGCAGCTCTGGGTCCTGCGGGGCCTGTGCACAGCTGCTGCCCTGCCTCAGCCTGAGCCTGTGTTCCACCTCTGCCTCAGCCCTTGTTGGGGTCACTGCAGGGACAGATTGCTTACAGCAACTGCTGAGAGTCTGACAAGCCTTATGCCACAGGCCCAGCTCTGGAGACAGTGGCCGGCAAGTGCCATGTGGCTCAGACCCAGGAGAATGCTGGGAAGAAGGGAGTGGGGTCACATGTCTCGTTGCAACACAGTTGGTTGCTGGTGAAGTTGGGCCGAGCCGGCAACCAGACCCAGAACACCAGTGTCGCTTCCTCCTTGTCCTTCAGGAACGCCCTGGTCTGCAGCCACGACCACCTGACGCTCTTCCTGACCTTGGTGTCTGGGCTGGAGTTCATTCGGTTTGACCTGGATCTGGTGAGACGCCATAGCTCTCGCTGCTGGAGTGCGAAGGGTGTGGCTGAGCTTGAGCATTGCTCCGTTGCTCAGGAGAGGGAGAGAAGCTTTCGGGGTTGGCAGAAGTGAAGGCAGAGGAGAGAGTCTCTCCCAGCTCCCTGTGGCGAGGATTCCTGATATAGGTGACTTCTCCCTCTCCAGCAACATGGAGAAAAACCCCACTCCCAGAAGCACTGGCCTTCATGTTTAGGGCATGTGTGTCTGGGAAGGACAAGGCCCGTCCACCTGTGTTTCCTGGGAGTCTGGCTTCCCAGCTGTTGTGCCCCCTGCTGCTCTCTCCAAATTCTCCAGCCAGGCACTGTACAGTGGTCCCCCTGACCCCCAGACCCTAATGGAGGCCTGAAACTGCAGAGAGTACCAAGCTCTCTAGAGAGTGGTTTTTCCTTCACAAACGTGCCCAAGGTAGAGTTTAGTTGTAAATCAGGCTTAGTAAGGGATATCAGCTGGGCATGGTGGTGCATGTCTGTAACCCCGGGGACTCATAAGACAGGAACAGCACAAGTTTGAGGCCAGCCTCAGCAACTTAGCAAGACCTGTCTCGAGAAAAAGAGAGCCCAGGACGTAGCTCAGTGGTTGAGGCCCCCTGGATTCGATCCCCAGTCTCTCTCTCTTTCTCTCTCTCTCTCTCTCACACACACACACACACACACAACAATAAAGAAATAACAACTAATAGTACAGTACAACAATTATAACAATGTCCTGTAATGAAAGTTATTTAAGACTTATGAATTGTTTTTTTTCTGGAAGTTTCCATTTAATATTTTTTGAATCACAGTAACTAAAACCATAGAAGGCAAAACCACAGACGAGGGTCGACTGCTGCACAGATGTGGTGGTGACCACAGCACCAATGGACTTGGCTGTCCAGGGGGGCCTGGCTGCCCTGTCCTAGTCACGTCACCCTCCCTATGAGCACAGACTGAAAAGGGAACCCAGCAGTGGTGGAGAAGGGGGAGAGGTGCTGACAGTGAGAGAGACCCGCGAGGCACTGGAGGCGCAGCTGCCTTCTGACGGCTCTTTCTTCTCCTTTTTTTTTTTTTTTTGGTACCAGGGGTGCTTTTACCACTGAGCCACATCCACAGTCCTTTTAATTTTCTTGAGACAAGGTCTCAATACTTAGGCTCTTGCTAAGTTGTAAAGGCTGGCCTCAAACTTGCCATTCTCCTGTCTCAGCCTCCCAAGTAGCTGGGATTACAGGTGTGCCGGCTCTTTCCTCTCTTTTTGGAGGCTGGGGAGGGAGCACATGGCCTCGTTGTCTCTGGACCAGCTCCACCCCTGACGGCGCCTGCACTCCATAGCCAGGGCCGCAGCTTGAAGAGCCAGACTCTTCACCTTACTCTTTTGTTTTTTGTAGTTATACATGGACACAATATCTTTATTTTGTTTATTCATTTTTTTAAAATATATTTTTAGTTGTTTTTTTTTAAACAATGTGATTTTTTTTTTAATATTTATTTTTTAGTTTTCGGCGGATATACGACATCTTTGTTGGTATGTGGTGCTGATGATCGAACCCGGGCCGCAAGCATGCCAGACGAGCGTGCTACCGCCTGAGCCACATCCCTAGCCCCTTTTTTAGTTGTTGATGGACTTTATTGTCTTTATTTTTATGTGGTGCTGAAGATCAAACCCAGTGCCTCATGCATACTAGGCAAGTGCGCTACCACTGAGCTCCAGCCCCAGCCCCTTTGTTGATTCATTCTTATGTGGTGCTGCAGATCGACCCACTGAGCCCAGCCCCTGCCCTTCACCTTACTCTTCTTAGCAGCTCATCTCTGCATTCACTTGTCAGGCTCCCTGATTTCCCAAAGGAGAAAGAGCCCGGGGCGGGGGTGTCAGACCCGAGTCTCCCTGCCTGGACTCTGGCGTTTTCTGATCCGCCTGACCTCCCACCCCACGTCCTCTCCACTCTCCCCAGGATGCCCCCTACTTGGACCTGGCCCCCTACATGCCTGACTACTATAAACCTCAGTACCTGCTGGACTTTGAAGACCGCCTTCCCAGCTCCGTGCATGGCTCGGACAGCCTGTCCCTCAACTCCTTCAATTCTGTCACCTCCACCAACCTGGAGTGGGATGACAGTGCCATCGCCCCATCCAGCGAGGGTGAGTGGCCCTGGGCAGAAGGGGACCGTGCCTCTGCCCCAGATGGACTGGAGCCGTGTGAGCCTGGCTGGTGACATCTCTCTTGGTGGTTTTGATTCAGTGGTTGAGACTTGCAGTCCAGCAAAGCCTGTGGTGGCTGAAGAAGGGATTCCAGGCACAAAGAGCCAAAACAAGATTTTAGGAGTGTTAGACACATTTCCAGAAGCTCCTGTCGCAGTCCCAGGGCAGATTTCTGAGCAAGGAGGGTTGGCTGTGGTGTGTCCTGGAGACGCCTGCCTCCCGTGGCGGGGCGAGTGCCGCCTCCCTGGGGAGGTTGCATACACAAGGTCCTGGGCAGGACGGGCCGAGCCACCTCTGGAAGGAGGAGAGAACCGGCAGGTCAGACGTGCAGGGACGCTGGCCGGGTCCCTGTGTGTGCCCAAGTCCACTGAGCTCCCCCTACACTGCTGCGGTGTGAGGGCCGGGTGCACCGTGGGTGCAGAGA